CCCCACCGCCGCCGTCACCACATTTGACTGCTGCCTGGGTTGGCATGGTGACGTTCTCTTAAATGGCTTCTGTGATCACTCCAGTGGCTTTTGAAGGGAGCTGGGCTGGGCTTGCTGCAGGACTGGGAGGAGGACACAGCTATGAGCTGAAGGGGGAGGGAAGGAATATTTTCAGCTGGGGGGGCCACACTTGGAACACTAATTGACCAGTTACTGTCCAAACTTTGCCTCCCAAAGACCTGCTCAAAATCCTGTTGTTCCTGTCCTCAGAAGAAAAGACACATTGATATCAGGAGGCCACATCGCCAGGAACTTTGCGGTCGCTGCAAAGACAAGAGATTCTCCTGTAGCAATGTTTACATCCTGTGACAGCAGCCGTGGTGTCTGGTTAATAGACTTGGCAGTGGGGTGCGCCTCTGCGCAAGTCGGTTCTGACTGGACGATGGCGAAAGGTGTAAGCTTTTGCCTTTGGGGTAGGTTGGAAACAGTTGTACAATGTGAGTAGAATAAAATAAATGCATGTGAGCTAGACCACGAGAAACACATTAATGGGTGATTCCTGGGTAGAAACAGCAAAATCATACTGGAAATGGTAGCTACTGACAGGAATAAGGAGGAGAAAAAGCCAGGTGTGGCAGCGCACACCTTTAATCCTAGCCCTTGGGAAGCAGAGGCAGGTGGATCTCTGAGTTCAAGGCCAGTCTGTCTACATAGTGATACCCTGTCTCAAAATAGGAGGAGGAAGTAGAGGAGGGAGAGGGAGGAGAAAGAGGCAGGTGGATCTTTGAGTTCAAGGCCAGCCTGGTCTACAGAGTGAGTTCCAGGACAGCTATGGCCACACACAGAAACCCTGTCTCCAATACCAAACCAAACAGAACAACTAAGGTTTTTTTAAAGTGACCAACATATTTTTGGGACAGGGTTTCTGGCAGGCCCCAACCTCATAGTGTTCTGCCTGCCTCTGCTTACATAGTGCTGGGATTAAATGTGTGACCAACTTTGTTGAGCTTGGAATTGCAGTCAATAGGAACCCAGCGACAGGGGCAAGGTCCTCGCTTTCCACTGTAGTAATTCTAGCAACACCCAGCATGTGCTAGACATTGTTGTGCCCTACCACAGCAGCTTTTTGTTTCTAAGACAAGGCCTCCTTTTTGCCCCGGGTGGCCTCTGACTCGCTCTCCTGCTGGGATTCGCAGCTTCCCTTTCTTCTCCTCCCTCTGTCTTCGAGAGAGACAGGGTATCACTAACATCTTCTAGGGGAGGAGCTGGAGGCAGAGAGGTCATGGAGCAGAGCTAGGCTTTGAAGTTGGGCTGGCCAGGACTTACTCCCTGATTGTGAAAACCTGACTATGTTTACGTTTTCTCTCGAATGAGGCTCGCAGTACAGGATGTAGGAAACGTAGGCTCAAGACGGAGACAGCATGGGAAAGGACACCTCGAGATGAGGGCGGCTGAGAGGGGGTGGGTCTGATTCAAGGGAACAGCGATAGCAAGGGTCCTAAGGGGATGGGGTACTCTCACCACACACATTCCAGGGCCAACGTGGGGCACAGGGCCGAAGAAGACCGAAGCCAGAGCACAAGAGGCTACGAAAGGATTTCAACAGGACAGTGACAGGAGGCGTTTAACTTAAAAACCTCACGGTTGTGAGGCAGAACTCGGGAGACTGGCTGGGAAGTGAACAGACCCATGTGCAGAATGACACCTTGGGCAAAACTGGCAGCTATGGCCAGGTGGTGGTGGTACACACTTTAATCCCAGCAGTCTGGAGGAGGCAGAGATAGGTGGAGCTTGAGGCCAGCCTGATCTACAGATTGAGTTCTAAGACAGTCAGGACTACACAGATAAACCCTGTCTTGGGGGGGGGGGGAGTGGTAGCTATGGAGCTAGAAAAGGAGTCTATAAATCTGGATGATGTTTGGAAATGTCCAAGGGTTGGCAGTGGGTGATGGAGGAAAAAGAAGGTGACCCTGAGATGCCTGCTTTGAGCTGTGGAGGTGGGTGACACCGAGACTTATACCAGTTGGCACATGGACCACACTATCTAGCTTCAGTCCTGGCTTTAGTAGTTAAGGGATGTGTGGTCATGGGTAAGTCATTTGGTCTCTGTGTCTCAGTTTTTCTGTTGTTATGCCCAGATCTTGGGGACCCCCAAAAGACCACCATGGAGACTGAGTCCTGCATGTAAAAGCAAAGAACCTTTATTTTCAAGTTCTGGGGCTTGGTCTGTCTGTCCCACACAGGGTGAGAGCAGAGAGCCCTGAGCTCAGGTGGGGCAGAGTTTTTATCATAGCAGAGTTTGGGATGAGAGGTCTCTGTAAAACAAAAATAGGTGTGTGCTAGACTCAGGGACATCTGGCCACCTTATCTAATGTTTGGGATGTTGGGTACTTCCCCATCCCTGGGTGGATCCCTGGGTGGTATCAGCTTAAGGCTTTCCCTGGATCTGGGTGTTGCCCGCCAGTAAGCCTGTCACAGAAGCTGTGTCTAAGCCTGTCACGGCAGCTGTGTGGTCAAGCTGTTTTGGGCCGTTCCACACCATCTATAAAATGAAGCTAATAGTTCCTGTCTCTTGGTGGCATGAGTGTAAAAGGAGCCAATGCGTCACTTGTTTTGTGTTACTGTAACAAAATAGCCGAACCTGCGTACTTTATAAAACACAGAGGTTTATTTGGCTCTCATATGTGGAAGCAGAAAGTTTAAGACCAGGGAGGTAAGGCTGCGTGGCTTCTTGTGAAGCTTTTTTTGGCTACGCTACAACACCTTGAGTGGCGTTTGTAGGAGCCATGAACTAGAATGGCCGGCATTGTAAGGGGGAGAGACTATGTTGTGAGACATTGTTTTAGCAAGATGAATGTCACCGTAGTGAACACACTCCCCGAGGACCAACACAGCCCTAGGGGATGGCACTAATCTCTGTGCATGGTGCCTCTCTGGCTAAATAATGCATCACTGGCCCACTTAAAAATTTAACCCTCTTCGGGTAGTGGTGGTGCATACCTTTAATCCCAGCACTCGGGAGGCAGAGCCAGGTGGATCTCTGTGAGTTTGAGGCCAGCCTGGTCTCCAAAGCAAGTTCCAGGATAGGCTCCAAAGCTACACAGAGAAACCCTGTCTTGAAAAACAAAAACAAAAAAAAAAAATTTTAACCCTTAGGGCCAGGGCCAGAGGGTGGTGGCACACGCCTTTAATCCCAGTACTTGGGAGGCAGAGGCAGGCGGATCTCTGTGAGTTTGAGGCCAGCCTGGTCTACAGAGTGAGTTCCGGGACAGTCAGGGCTACACAGAGAAACTCTGTCTCCAAAAACAAACAAACAAACAAATGTTTTAACCTTTACTTATATTTTATATATTCTCCCTGCAGAAATGTCTACACACCCCATGCATGCAGTGCCTGTGCAGGCCAGAAGAGGGCGTCAGGTCCCCTGAACTGGAGGTAGAGATGGCTGCCAGCTCTAAGATGTTGGTGCCTGGAACTGAACTCTGGTCCTCTGGAAGAGCAGCTGATGTTCTTAACTGCTGAGATAATTTCTCTAGCTTCTTAAATGTTTTAACCTTCAGTTTTATCTTCTGCATAGACGTTTTACCTGCATGTATGTATATATCTGCCACATGAGTGCCTGGTGCCCGCAGAGGCCAGAAGAAGGCATCAGATCCCCGGGGGCTGGAATTATGAATGGCTGTGAGCCACAGTGTGGGTGCTGGGAACCAAACCGCAGTCTGTTTAACCACTCCGTATCTCTTCAGCCCTACGTTTTATTTTGGTGGATCCTTTTAATGGGATAGAGTGAGTTTCTGCCTTCAACATATTAAGTTTGAAGGATCTGAGATATCCACCCAAGCAGAAGCTGTCTGTGGGCTGATTTCTGTGTCTCAGGGATAGAAATGAGAGAAATAGTATTTGGAGTCATGAGCTTGGATGGGATCACCTAAGAAAGCACGTCACAGAATCCTGGGATACACTAGGGTTTACTGCAAGAAGCCTGAAATTTTAATGTCCCAGGGGTCCTCTGGTGACCGCGGATCGGATGAAGGTTCTGATTCAGGAGGCCTGGGGTCTGTGGCACTGAAGATCTAGCATGTCCCCAGAAGCTCTCAGTGCCACGGGGACCCTGCAGCCCGCCACTGAGCAACGGCACAGAGGTGGAAGAGGCACAGGGAAGGGGAGGAAGAAAGCGGAGACGAGGGCGTTTCAGGAGTGGCGTAGACAGAGGCGAGGCGGACTGGGCAGCGCGGAGCCCACCTCGAACCTGGAGAACTCAGTGGGCAGTGCATGGAGACTGGGACGGGAGGCAGAGTGGGGAGCGGGGCTGACACACTCTCTAAAACCTGTGCTTTAGAGAAGAGAAACTTCTTTCTCTAAAGAAGGGCATTTTGGGGTCACAGAAGCCCCACCCTCATTGAATGTACGTGTGGTGTCTGTGTGTGGGAATTACAGGCGTGAGCTACCGTTCCAAGCTTTGATTTTCCTCTTTGGTCAAGAAGAGATGATTGACAGCTACCGTCTTGGGTTTGGAGGGTTGGCTCAGTGGTCAGAGCTCATGTCGGTCTTGTAGAGGACCCGAGTTCAAGTCCCAGCACTTGTGTCAAGTGGCTCACAATCGCCTGAAGTTCAGCTCCAGGGGGACCAGACACCTCTGGTTTCTGCAGGTACATGTAATCAGGGGCAACATTCCCACGCACAGGCGCCAAAGCACACAGAATTAAAAATCAAAAAATAAGTCCAGGCGGTGACAGCGCACGCCTTTAATCCCAGCACTCAGGAGGCAGAGCCAGGCGGATCTCTGTGAGTTTGAGGCCAGCCTGGTCTACAGAGGGAGTTCCAGGAAAGGTGCAAAGCTACACAGAGAAACCCTGTCTTGAAAAAGAAATAAAAAAAGGGGTCAGGGACTGGAGAGACGGCTCAGCAGGTCGGAGCCCTTGCTGCTCTTCCGGAGGACCAGAGTGTTACTCCTAGCAACCATATGGTGCTCGCAACCAAACTGTAACTCCCATGCCCTCTTCTGGCTCCCACAGGCAACTGCATGTACATGGTACACATACATACATACATACATACAAACATATATACATATTCAGGCACACACACATGTAAAACAATAAGTTGATATATCTATAAAGAAAAGCCATGTTCTTATTTTGGTGCCTACTTCCAAGAAGATTGTATTTCTGTCTGGATTCAGGGGCCATGCCCTGCACATCTGCAGTGTGGGTCGTTCATGTCAACCACAGAATACAAGTACACAGTATACCTCACAGCCATGTGCAAAACTACAGGTATGTGTCAAAGGCAAATATTTTAATTAACTAGAAATAAAATCCATGATCAACATGTATTTTGTCTTTTTTTTTTTTAGTCTAAAGGCAATTCTGAACAGAATTATCAATCAAGATTACATCACAAAAATTTTAAATGTATTTACACAGTGAATAAGTTACATAGGTAAACTCTGAATATGCTCTGGATGCGCAACAGATTCACATGCCCACATCGAACACTTGACAGCGTTGGATTTAAGGAAGAAACTTTAAGAATGGCCCTTTACACATATATTACAAATAAAATATGACATTATTCTTAAAGTGGCAACTCATATCTTCCCTTTAGGACTCTACTTCTGGCTATCCAAATGGCTACTAAAAGATGCATGCATGGTGGATGAAAGGACTCGGGATTCATGTGAATAATTTGTTTTTCTACAAAACGGCAAAGTGAATTCAAACGGACACTCATTCTTCTGTAGTATAAATAACGCTCATTAAAGCAACCTTCTTGTAAAAAGCAGCCTAGATCCTTTAAAAGAATCCATCTGGATCATTCCTGGTGCAGAGAGATCCAGGGTTTTCAGAAACAGTAGCCTAGCAACGTAAGAAAGGTACTCCATAGCAGCCTCGTTTGGATACAGTGTACATTAAGTTGTAGTCCATTTACAATTCCTTTTTCAAGCACACAGGCTGTCAGCTTTTGACCGTCTTACAGGTTTTCAGTGGCCAGCTTCATTCTGCCTGCCCCCCTTTCCAGCCCACTAAAAAAACAACAAACAAAATCCCACAAAAAAAAAAAAAAAAAAACTAGGAGAAAGGGAACGAATGTACAAGTCTTAGAATATAAATTTTTTTTTCATGTGAAGAAAAACATTGCACTTTTGCCAATCTAAAACTCTTTCCAGAAAGGACAGTATCGTTCAGCGCGGTCAGCTTTGGTAATGCAACGGAAGTCATTTCTTCAGTAGTGGGTTGCATCTGCCCAGTGACGGACAGCCGCACAGCGTGATGGGTCGAGTCTGTCTCAGAAGGCCCTAGGCTGCCTCTGTGTGGACAGTATTGCTACACATTGGAAGCTGGGTAATCTTCTTTAGGAAGAGTCCTACAGGTAACAAGAGGGAGAACACTCTGTCCAAGCCTTGCGAAGGCTGAGAAGACACTGAATGACGTCGCCCCAGCATGGCAGCACGGGCCTGGGAACCATGGGGGACGGGAGGCTCCTGTCAGAGACTAGTGCCAGAGACACTGGAGTCTGGGAGAAAGGCAGTGAGGACCCGGTAGCTCTGGGCTCTGCGGATCATGTCTCGGATCTCCATGTTCAGTTCCATCAGCTTGGTGCAGATTTCAGTCAGGCTCTGGTTAGAACCCACCAAGGCATAAGTACCCGTTTGTCCCAGAGTCTGGTGACGGAAGTAGATATTCAGTAGTGTCTGGACTTCGTCGTCAGAACTGCTTCCAAAGATGTCATTGGGCCACAGGCTTCTGTGGTGGAGAAAGGACAGAGGAGATTAGAGGCACCCAGTTGGGAGGTAGGAGTCTGGGTTAGTATAAAGATATACTTAAACTTTTTACTGAGATGTTATCACAGCATTTGATAGGTTCAGCTAAAGCACATAACTCCTTGGGTTCTAGTTTATTCAGAGTTGTCCAAATATTGCTATAATCAGTTTTAGAATGTTGGTTATTATTGATAAAAAAAATACCAGAATGGTATTTTTTATGTGTACATGTGCTTGTATGAATTTATGTGTACCACATGTGTGCAGTGCTCACAAAGACCAGAAGAGGGCATCGGATCCCCTGGAACTGGAGTTACAGGTGGTTGTGAACTGCCATGTGGGTGCTGGGAACTGAACCTGGGTCCTCTGGAAGAGCAGCCAGTGCTTGTAACCACTGAGCTCTGAATCTGATACTCTTATTTGCTATAGCCATCTAGTTCTGATGTATGTGAAGACTATCTAAAACAAACCCAAAATGTACATTCCGTTTAGTTTGAAATTATGTGGGGGTACATTGTGAAGTTCTTCAGCTTTCACAACCAAAGCCAATACGTGTAACATGTAAGCTCTGGGCCGGTGGGTAAGCCTTCGGGTGCTGCAGAAACCCAAAGAGGAGACAGGTAAGATGTCTAGACATCCCAACCTCGGCAAGTGCATCCCTAGGCAGCCCAGGGTCAGGACGACGCTTATGTTTCCCATCACCGTCCCCGGGAGGAAGAACAGAGTCACCTGCACTCCTTGATCTGTCGCAGGGCCTTGCCAAGTTCATTGTTCTTTAGACACTCCAGCATGGACTGGATGGCTGCCTCAGTGGAGGTGAAGGTCGGCTCTGACCACGCCCCCTCGATGTAAAGCGGGTCCGTGGCGATGGCCGCAGTAGCCTCTTTCAGGTTCCTCTTCAGGTCACTCAGTTCTCTGGACATGTTGAGCAGCTGTTTAGAACAAATGCCACGTATTTAGGTACAGGCTGGCATGACCTTTTCAAAGGAATTTGGTCATGAGGGTCTGGTTAAGCAGAAGTTTAATATCTGTATAAATAAAGGGAGCTGGGTATGGTGGTACATGCCTGTAATCCTGGTACTCAGAAGTATGAGGCAGGAGGCTCACCAGGAGTTTGAGGCCAGCCTGGGCTACCCAGTGAGACCTTGCCTCAAAACAAGACAAAACCGAACAACAACAAAACCCCCACGGACCTACATGGCATATATCAAGGATTGGGTTGTCAGAAGCATTGAATCACTCCGTCTCAGCAGCTGGGATGCTCTCCTCAGAAGAGAGACATCATTTAAAATGTTTCCCATTTGGGCTGGGGATGTAGCTCAGTGTTAGGGCTTGCCTTGTATGCACATGACCCTGGGTTCGATCTCAGTCCTTCCAGACCCGGTTTAACTAGAAAGGACATCATAAAGAAAGAGATAGGGCCAGGCGGTGGTGGCACACGCTTTTAATCCCAGCACTCGGGAGATAGAGGCAGGCGGATCTCTGAGTTCGAGGCCAGCCTGGTCTACAAAGCGAGGTCCAGGACAGGCACCAAAACTACACAGAGAAACCCTGTCTGGGAAAAAAAAGAAAAGAAAACAAACACAAACTAAACATACAGTAACAATAACAATAGGTCTAAACAAAAGTTATTTATTTCCATTTGATATTTTTAGACAGACGGTAACTGTGGGTAACCGTGTGTAATGTCTGTCCCTCTGAACTCATACAGAAGCATAATTCTTGGTCTTTTTATCGTTTTACATGTATTTTTGGGTGTATGTGTTTGAATGTGTGTATGCCACAGTGCATATGTAGAAGTTAGAGGACAGCTTTTCGGAGCTGGCTCTTTTTCTTCCACCATGGGACCTGGGGATTAAACCCTGGTTTTCGGGCTTGGCGTTAAGCACCTTTATCTGCTGCCAAAATCCCTGTCTTTTAATTTTAATTTTTTTTCAAGATGAGGAAGGACTCTGTATAGACCTGGCTGTCCTGGAACTCATTATGTAGACTAGGCTGGCCTCAAACGCAGAGATCCTCCTGCCTCTGCCTGGGGGTTAAAGGTGTGTACCAGTACGGCCTAATCTGCGGTCTTATGTTACTGGTATTAAGAGGGTGGGTGTGTTTGTCTCTAGAGCTAAGGCCTTTGGAAAATAAGGTTAGATTAAGCTTTAGGGTAGGGTGGGGGCCTGTGGACTCCTGGTGGCCTTATAAGGTCAGGGGAGCAAGAAACAGACACAGAGTTACCCGTGGGCGCCATGCTGTGAGGCAGCCAGTACCTTCAACATACCTTTTGGACTTCCAAAGACCCCCGAGAGCTAAGTAGACCTTTTTTTCTTTACAGAAGATGTGGCCCTTTCTGTTTCTGTACCTGACCGTGTGGAGGACCTTTTGGGACTGGTTAAAAGGGAGAGGACGGAAGTGTTTGGAGCAGCCGGCTATGGTCAGCACCGCAGACAGTCTGGGTGAGGGATCAGGGAAGCAGAACGCGGCTGGGGATGTGGACCGCAAAGGCCATGCAAACGCGGTTTCTGATGGCGATGAGGATTCTCTTGGGGACTGGAGTAAAGGCCATCCTTGTTACCTTGTGGCCAAGAGTCTGGCTTCCTTGTGTCCCTGTCCAGAGGCATCCTGGAAGGCCAAACTTCCCAGTGACCAACTGGTGTGTCTGGCAACAGAGCTCTCGAAACAGAAGAGCATCCAGGCTGCTGCATGGCTACTCCTGATGGCTTACAGTCAAATGAGAGAGCAAAGGGACGATTTGAAGACGGAGCTTCTTAAAAGGGAAACAGAGCAGCCTAGGCAGAGGAGGAACCACCAGGGTCTAAAGAGGAAAGGCTGGCCGCAACAGCCCCTGGTCAAGAACATTACAGTGGACAGACGGATGTTGTTGGTATTGAATCCTGGCAATAAAAGGGATGGCTGGAGGGGATCCCAGAAAGGAGCCCCGATGCAGACGGGGGAATCTTGCTTGCCGGCAAAGAGATCCTCGACCTCAGTCATGATTCCCAAGGCCCCGGATGCAGCACCTGTAAACCTCAGACCGTGGCAGCGTTCCTGTACGGGAGACTTTGCAGGCCGGAAGAACTTAGTTACAAAGTCTCAGCAGCCCTCAGCACAGCTAACGAGGAAACCATGGGAGGCCAGGAAGATGGCTGCCTTCAGGAGGGAGTCTCTGAGGAAAGGATCTGATGAGGTGATACCTCGTGGAGCTGTGGAAGTGAAGCCACACTGGAGATCCTGGGAGAAAAGCACTGATACCAGTGTCCTCAAACACCAGCCACAGAAAGCTGCAAGCAGTGTGACACACAGGCCTCTGAAAGCCGAGAACATCAGCTTGCAACCTGAAGTAGCAGCTGTGAGGGTGGAGCCCAACAGAGCATGGAGACTCCTTTCTAGACCTCAGGGAACACCTGGATCTACCCCAGAAGTAGAATCATTGCAGAGAGCCCACACAGAGGCAAGGCCGAGCAGAAACGTCCAGACAGAGCTGAGGCCCAGAGGCCCCTCCAGCGCAAGGCCTACCGGAGTTACAGGGTTAGGGCTGCCATGGAAACACCCGGAGCCACAGAGCTCCCAGCATGGAGGGGCCAGCCTGGGAGAGCTTCGGAAAGGAGACTCCAGCCTGTGAGGACGGAAGCAAGGGTTGAGGCCAGCAAAGCCCCGCAGCAGAGAAGGTGACGTGGAGGTCTGGGATGTTTGCCCCATTGGCTTTGCTTTGGCCGCGCTAGCCCGTCCCTTCCTTTAGGGATAGGAAGGTTTGTGTATGCTGTGTTTGTCCCGCACCCGGGTCTCTTCGCGGGTAACTCGTTTTTTTTGTGCTCCAGGCTCACGGCCACAAGAGGTTGACGGTTGTCTCTGGTGAGCCTTGTGAACCAATGCTGCCATGAGTTAAGACAATTTGGGACAATTGGATGGCATTTTTGTGTGGGAGGAGTCAGAGCCAGGAGTGGAATGCCGCCGTGGTTAGTTCCCTGAACTCATGAAGGCCTTTCTTCCTCTAAATCCTGCACTAATGGCCGTGAGAGGGTAGAAACTTAATCAGACTGTGGTGTCTAGAAATGGACCTTTGGGAAGTGATTAAAATCATCAGAGCCCTAAGGACGGAGTCCCATGACATTGGTGGGGAGGGAGAAGAGTCTGTGCAGAGACACAAGGCTTCCCATTAAGGTGGGCCACTGCCAGCCCCAGTGACATCCTGTTTGGATTCCTAGCTCCTCAATCTGTGAACTAAATAAATTTCTCTTTACAAGGTGGCTGGCTTTCAAATCTCTTGTTATGCTACTGAAGTGTCTGTGTTTGTGTGTTTTTCTTCGAGACAGGGTTTCTCTGTGTAGCTTTGCGCCTTTCCTGGAACTCACTTGGGCCCAGGCTGGCCTCGAACTCACAGAGATCTGCCTGGCTCTGCCTCCCGAGTGCTGGGATTAAAGGCGTGCGCCATGTGTTTGTGTGTAAGAGAGTCTCATTTGCTGTTTTTCCTGCTGTAAAACTGTAATACCTAAGTTACAAGTTTACTTTAAGCCAGGTGGTGGCGGCGGCGCACGCCTTTAATCCCAGCACTTGGGAGGCAGAGGCAGGCAGATCTCTGTGAGTTCGAGGCCAGCCTGGGCTACGGGGTGAGTTTCAGGAAA